TTTGGGATTCCTTAGGTTGTGTTGAGAGACCTCAGTGTAGACCAAACCAAAACCGATGTTCTGTGTTTGTAATTGCCTTTCTTCCATGTCCTATCATTACTCTGTATTAAAAACAGAGGGTTAAAAGGCCATAGCCCATTCCCAAAACATAATACACAACACCTCCTGTGGCCATAAGGTGATTGGATGATGTTGTTATCTGGATAGGCTGTCAGGTGAGTATGATCCCTTCCCTTTACCCAGTGTATGTTCTCCAGGTGACCAGAGTACCGGTTACCTCTTACATAGAGAGCCCACCCTCTGATTCTTGAGTCTCTGCCTGCATCTCCCATTTAATTAATTTAAGAGAATTTCTGACACTGGGTGTGATGGGACAGTTGTATGCAATTGCAAATCCTCACTTGGGAGGTGGAAGCAGGAGGGTCAGGAATTCAGGGTTATCCTTGGCTACAGAGAGAATTCAAATCCAGTCTGGTATGCATAAGTCCCTTCCTCAAAGTAACAAAACAAACAAACAGGGTTTCTGAAGGAAGAACACATCGGGCTGTAGGTGCAGTTCAGGAGGCTCACTGGCAAAAAAAGAGTGTCTGTGCCCTCCAGCCAAGGTATTGTTTTAACCCAGTGGACAGACAACTGGAAATCCCAGTGTTGATAGGAAATAAAGTTCTGATGCCTCTCTGGAGTCGAGTCGTTGAGCAGACCACTCCTGACACAAGCAAGGCTTGATTACACTACTGTGGAGCATACACGTGCAATAATCAGTGAACTCATTTCCCTGGTGTACAGAAGAGCCGTCTGAGCAGCTGGTAATCTCTGGGTGCTATTACAGTGTGTGTGATGAGCACTGTTTTCCAGGCATTTGGATTGGGCTGATCCTCTGAATATCCAACAGTGCTCTTCTTTCTGTGTAGACCTTCAGCAAAAGCAGGTACTTGGAAACCACAGGCTCACCTTCTCTATCTATTCAATAATTATTCATGAAGAGACCTCCAAGGGAGCGCTTGGCTGTTACTGATAAGTGTACCAATTACTAAAGAATCCGTCTCCAAGCCATCTGGTGATGTCTGCAGCATCACTGTAGAACTGTCTTGTGTCACTTTTTACTTCCCTCTGGGTGGAGCCTTTCAGACTCCCCAAGGCAGGTTAATCTTTCTCTCCAGGTAGTGACTTTGCCCTGTGGTTGGGCAAGCACTCTCTAGACAGAGAAGCAGCTACATACATCTGCTCTGTAATCGTCATTTGGTGATCAGCCAATCAGCATTTGCTCCTTGTATCTAAATCTCATGCACCTCTCCCAGATGCTATAGGGTTCTCTCCCACTGTTGCCAGTGGATATCATCCAAACAGTGGGCTCATATCTTTGGTTTTTGTGCAATCATTGTCGTATTGTAGTCCTAAGACTCATTATAGTGTATTTTTGATATTTTTGAAATGTGTTAAATTTTTTAATTCAATAATATGAGCCAGAGCATGTTGCAGCAAATCTATTGTTTGTAAAAAATAATAACAATAAATAAAATAAAATGGAATATCTTTTCCATGCCTTTGATTTATAAATAGTTTATGGAGAACTATAATTGCATGCAGAATTAGGTTCTTTACTAAAAATATGTTTAGGATCATTTCTAATTTTTCTTTAGGGGAAAAAGAACAAAATGCAAGACCCATTTGATGGCACTATAAACTGTGAGTTAAGACAATGAATAAAATGTTTTCTTTATTATTGAGTACTTCATACAGGTATACAAGGAAATATAATCATGTCTGTCCCCCATTTTTTCCCTCTAACTTCCTCCAACACACCCCCCTCAACTTCATTTTGTTTTATAACTTCCTATTAAGTCCAGTTAGTACTGCCCATAAGATCACGAGTGTGGGGCCATGCCCTAGAACAGGGAAAACCTACCAGTGGCTGTGTTCTCCAACAAGAATGTTCTCTCTCCCCATATGAAAATACCATAGTTTTTCTGTTAGTCAGCTGTGTGTCACTGTAACGAAATAGCTGACATAGGCAATTTATGAAGAGAAAGATGTTTGTTTAGTTCACAGTTTTGAGGTTACTTAGAGGTCTAGCAGATTGGTTTTCAGAGAGATGCATGGAATAGTGGGGAGAGAACGGGACACCTCTTAGCCAGACAAACCTAGTCGACCCTAGTAATCAGCAAGGGACGTACTAAGCTAGATTGACCTTATTTTCTAGCTCAGTTTTGAAGGTTCAGGGGTACACCATCAGGTCAATTCTGGACTGCTCATATCACAGTAAGTAGTGACCAGGAACTGCCCAGGAATCCCATGAGAACCATCTGCCACAATCATGCTTCCAGTGACCTAAGAACCTCCCAATAGAACCCACCTCCCCGAAACAACAGCCATCCTGGAGACCAAGGCTTCAGTCAGAGTGGACCCTGGAGAGCACACAGACCACACACAATCCTTTGCGCCTCTTTACTGAAATAGCAACAAAGACATTCACTGAAGATTCTTCTTTGGTTTATGTTTAAAGAAATGCCACCTAGGCATAGTGGCACATGTCTGTAACTCCAGCACTTGGAAGCTGGAGGCAGGAGGCTCAGGAGTTCAAAGCCAGCTATGGCTACATAATGAGTTTGGGGTCAGTCTATGCTCTGAGACACTTCCCTAAAGCTCACTACAGACAGCATAGTTCTTAAGAGAGTTATTAGCTGAGGAAACTGTTTTATGAGCTGCTGTAGCACCTTAAGTAAAGCACAGCTGGCTGTGATATGGGAGCCAGGCAGCTAACTGGCCTGGTCGGCACGCCTTCCGGAAGGTGGGGCACTAGGACTTTAGACTTGGCGAGTGTTGGCCTATGAGATGATCGCTATCCAGTTAAGACTGGTACTACCTCTGCTCTCACTGGATGTCTTCTAGTCTGGATTTCCGGCAAGATCAGCAACCTCTAGGTCCAAGTAAAGGCCATGTTAAAGTCATCTTGAAGACTTCCTCTTTGTCTGGCATCAACATTTTAAAAGCTTGGGTTATCAACAGCACACTAAGCTCTTTGGGTGTGTCAGGTGAGCACTGAACCTCCACCTCTTGATACCACGGTCCTATGAGTTACATTACATAGGCTAGGATGGCAAAAGAGATGCTTCTGAGTTTGTTCTCCACTTCCTGTGGTATTTCCTGGTGTCTCAAAGGCCACAAGAACTTGTCTTTTACTTGTAACACCCTCTAGTGTGAGAGGGTTCAAATTTATATATATATGTATATATGTATATGTGTATATGTGTGCGTATATACATATGTGTGTGTGTGTGTGTGTGTATATATATATATATATATATATATATATATATATATATATATATTATGATCTATGTGTATGTATGTGTGGGTATGTGCATGTGTGAGTGCAGGTGCCTGTTGGGTCCAGAAGAGGGTATCGGGTCCCTGGAGCTTAAATTGTAGGAGGTTGTGAAACATGTGATTGAGTGCTGGGAAAAGCATCAGATGCTCTTAACTGCTAAGCCGTCTCTCTAGCCTGTGCCCAAGTCTTACCTCTGCTGCTTAAAGGTTTTGTGACTAGGAAAGTTAACCTGTGTCAGGCAGTTTTTGTCATTGAACAGAAATAACAGCATCTGTCATCAGTGCTGAATGTAACCAGAATGATAGGTAGGGCTTTTACCACTCACTGTACAACAATGTCACAGTGAGTCACTGTAAGGAACATCAGCCCTTGCCCTTCTTGGACCTTGTCCCTCATCTGTAGCACTCGAATAACCAGGCTTAGCATGCCTGACAAATGACGAATCCCATCAAGTTTGCTAGAGAGTTTCCAGCCCTGAACTCCGGACTTACGGCAGTGTAATTAATCACTGATGGGCTCCAATCAGAAGAGGAGCTGCTGCTCAGGAGCCAGCGGGCACAGGGCTGGGGTCATAGGTCAAAGTCTCCTTTATCCAGTGAAAGACCCAAGGTGGGCAGAACACCCGGAAACAGTGAGAATAGTGTGTTGGGGTGCTAGTCTCTTGTTGAGGGGTACATATTTGAATTTGGCTATTGTTCAAATTTCTTTGCCACTCATCAAGTCTTAGTGTGGGACACTAGTTAATACTCAGGCCAAGGGTGACATGGTGAAGTAGACATACCAGCCAAACAGTAGGGATTTTCCTGGTGGTTGTTTTCCCCGGAGCTTTGCTTCATTTCTTAAAAGATTCCTTCATTTTTATTTTACATTTGAATGTTTGCCTGCCTGTATGTATGTGCGTGATCTGTGTGCCTGGTGCCTCCAGACAGCAGAATGGGGTGTTGGGTCCCTGCAACTGGAGTTACAGATGGTTGTGAGCTGCCATGTGGGTGCTGGGAACTGAACCTGGGTCCTCTGTAAGAGCAGTAGAGTGCTCTTAACTGCCTAGCCATCTCTCCAGCCCCTGTCTTCCCATTTCTGCATGAGGTTTACTTTTGAACCTTTATTTTGGGCAGGCCCTACAGGAATTACCTATGTACGTGTGTGAGTGTGCACATGCATGGTGTGCCCAGGAACGCATAGGACAACCTGAGGGAGTCCAGTCTCTATTCCCACCATGTGGGTCCCAGGGGGCAAACTCCGGTCATCAGGCTTGGCAGTAGATGCCTTCACCCACGGAGCCATCTCTCCAGCCATTGAAGATGTGTTTAAAAATAAAAATAAAAAGTCAATTCCAATGGAACTCCCCCGCCACCACCACACACACACATCTACTTGGAGCAGCCAGTGGAAAACGTTTTTCCCTGGTCTGTGAGACTGGAATCCTAAAGAGGATCAAGCTAAAAGTATCTCCCTTCCTGTGTAAGAAGCCCAACCCCTCTTCCATCTCTGGAGAACTGCCATGTTAGCCCTCCACAACAGAGTAGCTCCCTCTGGGAAGGACAGAGAAATAGTTACTTATTGGAACCCAACCCCACAACTGCCAAGTACAACAGTACACTGTTGCCCCCCCCCCTTTTTTTTTTTTTTAAAAAAAAGGGTTTTAATTGTACACATATGAGTGTTTGCTTGCTTGTATGTGTACCATCACGCTCGTGCAGTACCCCTGGAGTCCAGAAGACGAACTGGAGTTCTGGACTCTTGTGAGACATGTACGTGTTGGGAAGGGAACCTGGATCCTCCGTAAGAGCAGCCAGTGCTTTTAACAGCCGAACCATCATCTCTCCGGTCCTGAAGCTTGCCTTTTTTCATGTTTTCCACTGTAGCTGTTGATAGCTGAGGAAGGGTTCCTGTGGTGGCTCCGCATATACTACCCGCTGATGTGTTCTCAGCTCTCAGAATGTCTTTGGCTAGTCTCCTACTTAGCACTATCCACCTCACAACATGGCAAGAGCCCTACCACGAGAGCATACCCAGCCTTACCAGATGGCTCTTTTCAGCAAATATGACCTCCCCCCTCCCCCAAGCTTTCATTGGGACCGCCAACAGACTTTTACAACTTAACTCTGCTGCAGTGCCTGGGGGAAGCTTAGGAAATCATGGTTGTCTACCCATGTGCTTGTAGGGGAGAAACAGAGTCCAGATCTCCTTAGAGCGTCCCAGACCACACGTATTCTGGGACATCACTGTAATTTCTGTGCTGTTCCTGGCTGTCTTTGCAGCGCTTCTGTTCTCGGTAGGCCCGCAGGGCCAGCACTACGCTGGCCGTGTACATAATCACCAGAAGACAAGCGAAGGTGGCCGCTGCCCCATCAGTGCCCGCCAGCTGGCAGTTCATCCAGGTGAGACCCCTGCGGGCGTAGAGCCTCTCTCTGGTTTTGCAGGTGTCGGTGGAATTGATGCGCAATGCAGTGTGCAGGTAAATGCCAATGCCAACGCAGTAGCCTACCGCGGCCAAGAGGCTGAAGGCGGCCTCCAGCAGCAGCCACCTCCCAGGCAGCTTCCTCAGACTCTTGGCTCCCCGCAGTAAAACACCCATCGTGAGGACGCCCATCCCTAGGGAAACAGCCACGCCACCATAGATCAGGGGCGACCGCAGGATCGTGTACCGCTGGTCCAGCTGCCGAACCTGCTCCAGCTCCGTGCCCTCAAAAGGTGAGTAGTAGTTATTCCCGAAGCCGCTGCCGCTGGCAAAGCTGGCGCTGAAGCCAGCCAGGACGAAGTAGGAGGCCACGATGCATATGAGAACCATGCCATTCAAAATCACCTCCACTATCTGCACCACACCTGGGGGAAGAGAGAGAGTCTGGTTTAAGGCTGGACCATCCACCATGTCAACTAGGGATCCCCTGGATCCAAAGATAACTAGTTCAATTCAGCAACCTTATCAACATTCTTGGTTTTGTCTTTTTTTTTTTTTTTTTTTTTTTAAGGAATTTAAAATCCTAGTGCTTGTGGTGGGACCCAAGACATGTGCATCTTAGGCAAGTGCTCTGCGGGTAGGCTGTACAACATCAACCCTGTTGTTCAGTTTCTAAAACACACTTTAAAAAAAATCATTGCCAGCAAGGTGGGTGGAGCAGTGGCTCAGTGGTTAGAGAACTTGTGGCTCTTGCACAGGACCTGGGTTGGGTTCCCAGCACCCACACAGTAGCTCACAGCCTCTGTCACTTCGGTTCCAAGGGATCCAATGACCTCTTCTAACCTCAGCAGGCACCAGGTATACAAACATTGCACATGCAAACCCCTCCTATACTTACACAAAAAAATCAAATGTCAATCTGAAAAACTTGGAGACTTAAGAAATTAAAAAAAATTTTTTTTTTGACATAAGGTCTTGCTTTATAGCTCAGGCTGGCCTTGAACTCCCTACCTGTCTCAGCCTCCCAAGTATTAGGATTACAGGTACTGTAACTGTACTGGCTTAGGGGAGTTAAGAAAGTTAAATATATGTGTGTACCATGTGATTCTGCAATTATACCCTTAGACATTTACCCTAAAGAAATAAAGTTACTTGGTAATTTGAGGAGGAGAGCCTTGAGTGGGAGGCCAGCCTGGGCTACACAATGAGAGCCAGCCTCAAAATTAAAAAAGGGAAGAAAAACATAAAAACATGTTCAAGGGTTTTTATAGTAGTAGCTTTATTTGTAACAGCCAAATGCTGGGAGAACTTACCCTTGAGCAGTGAATGGTTCCAGTACACACACACACACACACACACACACACACACACACACACACACACCCCTGCCTCCAGGGAATGCCCTATCCAGAATAAAGAGGAGTGGACAGGCAACAACCTGGGTGAGTTTCAAGGTAATTATGAGTGTGTGTGTGTGTGTGTGTGTGTGTGTGTGTGGTGTGTGTGTGTGTGTAGTAGTAGTAGTAGTAGTTCTGGTCTCAAAAGGCTACATGATTCCCTCTGTGGAGCAGTCTCAGTGGGGCAGCATTCTGGCGATGTCGTACCCAGACAGTGACTGGGACAGGGCTAAGTGGGATGAGAGAAGAGGAGGAGGAGGAGTGTGGCTGTTCCGGTGCCACACTAGAGGTGTCGTCTGCTGGGACGGCTTCTGGGCTTCATAGTGGTGAAACACTAATCTAGCGACTGTTTGTGAAATTTCAAATGAAAAGTTTGAAGGAAAAGTTAATGTCATCAAGTATAGACTGAAAATTTTCCTTCATGTTCTCCCGTCCCCCCAGAGCATAGTTTTGCCATGTAACCCAGATGGCCTCTACCCAGCCACCACGACTTTTCATAACTCCCTAATACACTCCCATGCTTCTGTCTGTGTGTCTCTCTCTTTGGCGTGTGCATGTGTGCATGTTTGTGGTGGGAGGTTGTCCATGTGCACATGTGTCGAGTGTGTGTGAAGGTCAGAGGACAGTTCCTCAGGTGTGACCTTTATTCCACCTTTTCTTTGAGACAGGTCTGTTGCTGATCTGGAACTTCACCAAAAAGGCTTGAGTAACTGTCTACCAGTGAGCTCCAGGGGTTCACCATCTCTGCCTCCCATCTCACCAGCACAGGGATTTCAGGCTTTTGACACACGGTCTGGGGATCTGAACTGAGGCTGTTATGAGTGTGAAGCAAGCATTTTGCCCACTTTCCAGTCTTCCTTATGTAAATAAAAACATTCAAACCTGTGCCGCACCTTCCTCCCCACCCCCCAGACATAAATGTAGCACACCCACCATCAAGCATCTTGCTGGTTCCATTTACTATATGCCAGTGTTATCTCTAGATCCGTCTCCCAGCGGCCACATCATTCGTTACATGAGTCCCAGCTTGGTTATATGGATGGACCAGTTTGTTCAACCAGGTTTCTACAGATAGATACTTGGGCTGTTCATGTGTGGGGAGTTTCTTAGCAGTCTGGAAGATCTGCAGATCCCACAAGGCAGTGAGAGCCAACAGGTTGGCCATGACTGAACATCTCTTGTCTATTGGCTGGCCCTGTCATTGGCTCCCTGCAGAAGCTTCAGGCTATACTTCTGGAAGTTTGATTAGCATCCTCTTGGGGTGCAGAGACGAGAATTTTGAGAGACAAGAGGAATACAAATGAACCCCAAGTTTGAATACCAGATTCCAGTGTCTGCTCTTTTTTTCAATGTTCTTGCCCTGCTCACTGAAGTCCTTCCAAGCCTCAGACGTTTTATCTGATGAATGAAGATCAGGCTTCCAGCCTCACCCCGCCTCCCTCTCCCACACCAGCCTGTGGGAAGGGTCCAGTGGAAGGGAGAGCACTCAGCTCCCTAGTTGCAGCTTCTGTACTGGAAGATTCCACTGAGGATTGAGAGCATCTGACCATGGAACAAAGCAAGCTTTTTCTTAGCGGTGTTCACTAAACAATACATTTTAGCAACTGTTTGCATAGTATGGTGATATTTTATTTGTATTAAAATGTTATTTGTATGTTAATAAATAAAGTTGCCCGGGGGTCAGAGCTATTAGCAAGCCATAGGAAAGCAGGGCAGTGGTGGCGTACGCTTGTAATCCCAGCACTTGGTAGGCAGAGCTGGGTAAGTCTCTGTGTGTTCAGGGATACAGCCATTATTGGATACACATGCCTTTAATCTAAATACCAATCATGGAAAACCTGGAAGTCTATACAGACAAGCCGTGACGAGGCGGTCATGTGGTTGGGTTTACAACCAATGAGAAGGCAGAACAGAAATTCTATATAAGGACTTTAACACAGAAAGTAGCTCTGGTTCGGAGAGGTAGGACCACCGCAGGAGGAAGGGTAAGGTTTTAGCTCTTAGCTCTGACCTCTTGGCTTTCTTCTTTGCATTGGTTCTGTGTTTCTTATTTAATAAGAAGGTTGGTTACATTTACAGCATAGCATCTATATCGTTAGGAATAAGTAATCCAGAGATAAGAGTATACAGGAGCCAGGCAGTGGTGGCGCACGCCTTTAATCCCAGCACTTGGGAGGCAGAGCCAGGCGAATCTCTGTGAGTTCGAGGCCAGCCTGGACTACCAAGTGAGTTCCAGGAAAGGAGCAAAGCTACACAGAGAAACCCTGTCTCAAAAAACCAAACCAAAACAAAAAAAAAAAAAAAGAGTAAACAGGAGGCTATGGATATGTTATGCATGAATACCATGCTGTGTTTTATACAGGAGCCCAAAGCACTCTCAGATTTAAATTTTGGAGGGGACCCTGGGGCCAATCCCTGTGGACACTAATACATGACTAAAAATTCCTTGAAAATCATAAATGGATGGTAAGGCATCTCTGTAATGTTCTAAAATGGGAGGAGAGTAGTATGAAATGTGAGAAGAAATGGAGAGAATTCTGAAAAAGTGCTGTTTCCCAGAGATTAGGACAACTACTCATTACAGTAATGGACGCCAGCCATGTTTATCATCAAGGCAGTTACGAGGCCGCAGCCGGCTCTACAATCCTCGGGCGCAGCCAACGGAGCTTATCTTCTGCAGGCCCACGTGAATTCCTGAAAAGCCAGGGGACACAGCAGCGTGGGGATCTGAGAGTTGAGAAACTGTATTGCTCTTATTTAAAATTCAACATTAGAGTCAAACTTCCCACTCTCCAACCAGGCTCTGTAAGTCCAGCAAACGATGAAACAGCCCAGATGTCACTGGTGGGGGGCAGCTGACACCCCCACACCACATCTTTCCCTACCCTAATTTCCCTTCCATTAGCATGTAGAAACAGAAGCGCTGTACTGATACAAGAGATGGGAGGCATGACCCCCTTCCTTCTGGTACGCACAGCACACACCTCTCAACTAAAGTGGAAGAAGTCTAGGTTTCCATGTCTTCTGCTAGGCACAATGATAACACGGTTTATTGAAGGAATACGACTGTGGGGGATTATTCCGGACGCCAACTAGCCCGACCTGCCTTAGCTAAAGTACTCATAGCAAACAGTCACAAGTATCTTTAAGCATGCTGTGAATGCAGAAAGATACATTAGAGAAAAGGACAAAGGGCAGACAGTTGCAATTTGTCTCCGAGTTGGGGGTGGGTCAGGTCTGCAGAGGCCGAGACTCTAAAGTCCACTGGGTCTTCGCTGTAAACAGCATCTTTCTGAGCAAGGCTGCCTTTGTGGCTGACCACATAACACTCTGCTTAATTCTGTATCTACTTCTGCCTTTGCACTATACATCGCTGTTCTGAGGGGGAAAAAATCCAAGGCGAGCAAGTCAGTTTGACCTTTTTATTTTGCGAAAATAAAATGAATATGTGCAGTCACAATATCTACAGAATGAAAAATAAAAATCTTTTTCTTTGAGCAAAATCTTATGGTATTCATGTACTACAGAGGTATGCGATTCTGTCCCTAAACCCAAAGTCTTCTAAGTCGATCAATGGCATTTAAGTGAAGAGTGTATTTCGATCATAAAGAAAACCGCCGCCTACAAATTAAAGTTTTCCTTTGAAATGCTTGGATTTTCATCAAAGGACATAGTCACGTGTACCAGAAAACACTGTAATGGTCCCAAGCTGTAATTCACATAGTCTATCCAGTCCATGGAGTTATCTGGCCAAAAGTAACATTCTTCTGCTGAGAAAAAGACTTTACATTCTTTTCTTTTGGGTAGATCCTGAATACCAGCTGTGGGGTTGGATTCTTCATACAATGGCACATTTACGAGAGGTACAAATGCTTATTGAGGGCTCTGGGCCACTGTAAGGGGCCTGGAGAATGGTTTCTTTGCAGCTCAGTGAATTTAATCTGATTCTCTTTTCTTTATGCTACGCCCTCACACTTAAGTTTTTATGGGGAGTGTCCCCAGAATCCACCGAGTTGAAGGAATGCTGG